ACTGAAAAATCTGTGTTTCATTTTTCTCTTGATATCCACATTCCTACAGTTCCATGTCATTCCTGCAATGCAATGAAGGGAGTGTGATGTAGTAATACCATGTGAAATTAAAGCTAGTGCAAGATATGATTACAGTTATGATTGAAGTTCAAAGCAGAGACCACAGAGCTTGGGATGTCAATTAGGCACCAGCCAGGTTCTGATGGGCTTTGTGGCACTGTAATGACTTAAAGGGTCTGATGTAGTCTCAAAGCAAGTTTTAAGCAAATGCCTGTATGACCTGGACTGCAGCAGCCAGCTGGAGGAGCCAGCAGGAGGCACAGGCTCTCTGGGCTTCCCAAACAGGAACTGCCACTTCAGAGACCATTCTCAGACAGAGGTTTCTGTGTTTGAATTTAACCACTGGAATTTGCTCCTTAGGTTTTGCAGAACCCAAAATAAGTAAGTAGAATGAGTTTTGGATTGTTTTCAGTACTGTAATAATGATTTCCATTGTTTATCAGCTGACTCTGTTGCAGCCTCTGAGATGTCCCTACCCTGTTTACTGCTGGCCCAGGCCAGGGAGTGTTTAAGGAAAAACCCTTCCCTAAAAAGCTTGTACTCTCCTGTTTCTGTGTTGGTGAAAACTTATGGCTGTCTTTGTCCAATGAAATTTTGCCTGGGAGAAAAAATTGAATACCAGCTCCATAGAAAAGCAGCTCCTTCAGACAGTCCTTGAGACCATGAGCTCTGATGGAGATAACACACCAGGAAAATGAAGGGGAAGTTGAGCTGCTTTCTTCTTACCTGGGAGTATTGTGTACTTATAGTTTGATTATTTTTTCCCCCTTTATCTGATGTGTTTGGGAAAGGGACTTGACTGTGTTACATGGACATGAAGTACATAGTGAGCTTTGGAAACACATCTGAGAGTGCAGGAAGCTCTGCTTTTGAATAGATGGACTTCTGACATTTTAAAATACTCTACTTTTGAATTGTTAAGTATTTCTGAATGCCATCCTTATTTGTCTAATGTGGTGTGCAGGATCTTTATGCTCACTTAAAAATCTTTGAACTAAGGAAACATTGAGGCAAGTGCTGATTTCCTAATCTCTGTGGGGTTCTTTCTTTGCTTGTAGGGGGATGAACTCCAAGAAGGTAAATTCTAACTTCTGCCCAATGGCCTAGGGAAGCAGATCTCAGTTCCAGCAGCAATTTGTCAGTTCATTAAGAGATGCAGTATCCTGACTTCTTGGGTAATGGTTTTGCTAGGCTCCAAGGAGCAGTGGTAAATCTGATTTCATGGCTACCAGGATATGGCCAGGTCAGAATGGAAACACCCAGGTAGAGGAGCTCTGTCCAGACAGTGTTTTGAATGGCTGGAGCAAGGCAGAGGCTGCTGTGCCTCTCCGGGTAATTTCATACAAATGTCCAGTGCTCATGGAAGCAGAGCTATAGGACTGGAACACTTAAAGTTTAAACATCTTGTGTGGGAATTCTGTGGACTTTAGACTTACAGTTAAGGTCACATCTTCACATGTGGATATCTAAAATGCATGGAAATACAGATTTTCATAAAAACTTTCAACTTTGGCTCCTCTGTAGGAATGATGACTGTAGTATTGCTGTACTTAAGAGGGCTGTTAGAAATAACATGCATTACTTAAGCTCCATAAATAGAAATTATGGTGCAAAACACAGTTCCATAAATCTCAGATGTGTATTTGTTTTGTCTTAGGGATTTCTAGGTGGGCTTTGTCCACACTGTCCATCAGCTTATAATCTTTTCTCTGTGGCCTCACTCAACTCTCCCCTCTACCTTTATCTGGAGCTCACCCAAAACTCCAGTCTGGAAGGAGGAAGAATCCCAGGGATGTAAATACACAAGATATAGCAGTGCCTAAATGGCCTTTTGTTCCAAGTTCCTCCTGCCTGTGCTGGGACACAGCTCTGTCTGCAAAGCTGGGCAGCTGCAGGGCAGCCTGGAATGTCAGCAGAGCAGCTCAGCCTGCTGCTACAAACCAGAGCAGATGTAGCCACCCCAAGTATAGGAGTGCCCAAAAACCAGGTGGGTCAAATATCAGTGATCTGATGAGTTATTTAGATGGATCACACGATCAGGACTCAGTACTTTTGTGAGTGTGTGTAGGAAATGTTTCCTAATTGCTTCTGAGTGGAGTTGAGGGTGTAGGAAGGTTCACCATGCAATAATGTGGAACTTACCTTGAAGGTGAGTGTGTAGGGGAATAACAAATTTGGGCAGTTATATTTTTTTGGCCTGTTTGCTATCAGATGACAAGATGCAACTTCAAATGATGAGTCTCACGTGAGACACAAGCAGAAAGCAGATTACCATCTTCTTGATCTAAATCAACTTTCTTTTTCCTCACTTTTTCTTAACTGCACTTACTGTTTCATGGGTAACAGTGAACAATTTTTATTCTCAACTCTCTGCCCATGAATTCCAAGTGACTGGAGAGGCAGAAGATTTCTCACCTGGCCCTCATTACCTAACCATGGTGTTTCTCAGTCAAGCATCAAGTGTGTTATTCTCAAGATTTCCTTTCTGACTGTGATTTTTATTTTGTGAGGTAATTTCAAAGTACTGGAAGACTTTGGGGAATGTGAGCAATGCACAGTGCTTATGACACAGCCTGTGCTCTGCCCTTTGTGATGCACAGCTCCAGAAACTGTACCAAATGGTTCATTTTGTTGACTTTGTGTCACAGAGTTTATCTTGAAAGGTTTGTAGTGTTACACAAACATGTGCCTCTTCCTCCTCTCCCCAGGTATTTTGCAGGATCAGCTCAAAAGAATGGGCTGTATCTGTACCATGCTCAAGTGCGTTTTAAAATCACAGTTAATATTTTAACAGGTGATTGTTTCCTATTCTTTTGCATTCTCATCTATCTACAAATAGCATGTTGTAGCCCTCATTAATCAAAATGACACTTTCTACACCCTCAAGTGTTTTCACATTTGCACATGAAGCGTGTTCCCAAAACTCTGTGCTGCCTGATTGATCTCTGCATTGTGCACTTTTCAGACCTATGTGTCTAAAGCTGCCTGAAAAGATACAAAGCTTAACTTCTAATGTGATTTCTTTAATCTCCTTTTGTAGAATTAGTATTACAAACCATGTAGAAAGTCTTTCCAAGTTCGCTTTTTGCATCAAGCTTGGCACAGGCACAAAGGACCACATCCCATCTTACACTGGGAAACACACTGCTGGCTGCCAAAAGAAGTGTGAGGAGACACTGCTGTTTTGGGAAAGGGTGTAAGAGAAATAAGGCTGTTAAAAACTGAGGAAAGCAAAACATCCTCCAAGGCACAGACTTGCCCCACTGACTGTTCAGACACGGCTCATTCCAGGGCTCCTCTTCCCACTGAGTGCCACAGAACAGACATTAGCTGGTGGTCACATCCAAGAGAAGGATTTACATTCACTAACTTGTCTGCTGCTAAGAGCACAGAGGACTACTCATGTCCGTGTATGTATATATAAACCAGACAAAGACTGCCTGAGGGAATGGGAAGTGGCACAAAGCCTTTCCTAGGCATAAAGAACTGTGGAGCAGATAGAAAACTCCCATTCATCCTGTGCTTTTTATTTACTGTACATCCCAAAGGCTGTGGGGATGGGTCAGTGTGCAGGGTCTGGAGAGAAACTGGACTTTTAATACTCTTTAAAAGATTTCATTTGGGTTCAGGAGTGTCTGACCCCTGGAGACACCTCTAGGTCCCCACAGAAGGGGTGCTGCCATTGTCTGACACTTTTTCTGCCCACATGGCATGTGTGAAACACAGCCAGTTTTACAGCAGCTCATATGGAGGATTTATTGACTGAAGACTCTCAAAGAATTTGCAGAATTTCCTTTCAATTTTTTTTATGGTCTGAGCATGGATATTTCTCTTGTCTGGCTCAGTTTTTTCCTAAAAGCCTGTCTGAACATTTTAGTAAAAGAAATAAAAATACTATAGAAATAAGTATCAGCATGAAAGTGGACGGGGGAAAAATTCTGCCCTCTCCATTGCCAGAAGTAGAGTGTAGGTAGAACAGCAGAATTTGAGGAAAAATACTTACTAATCAGTAAGGCTTTCCTCACCTTTCTCAATTTTTAGTTTCTTGTCCTAGAAGAGACAGTTATTTTATGTCACCATTCCGGTCTAAGGTCTCTAAGAGAAGATAATCTATTTTAGGGGTGAGAACTGCACAGCTTGAGCCAGAAGCAGCGTGTAACACTTCTTGAGTGTGGACCCAAGTACTGCATACATGAGAGAACACATGTGTGTCAGCCTATGTTGGGGGCAGAGGGGAGGGAGGGTGATTTAGACCGAGCTTATTAGGGTTAGAAACCACAGCTTTTCAGGTTGTTATTTACTGATATTAACGAGTAGTGACTGAAGCACTTGCCTTATGACTGTTTTGTAACTTGCACTGGTTTGACAGGACTTGCCTTGCCTGTAGCCTTCTAGAAGACGTGAAGCTCACCTAAGAGTGTGAGGTTGGTTTTGGCAGCCAAAAGTATAATTAGAGTTTCACCCGCATGCATCTGGCTTACAGAGCCCGCACAATGCAAACCTCCCGTCTCCTGCCGCCAGACCCAGGGACGCGTGTGCTGAGTTTTCACGGCGGCGGCGCCCGATGCGCGGCACGGATCCCCGCCCGGCCGCGGCTCGGCTGCGCCCCGCACACCACGGGCCGCCCGCAGGGACTCGCTAGCCGGACTTCGGGCGCCTCCCTGTTGCTTCCCCTTGGAAGCGCACGCCGGAAGATGCTGCTGCGCCTTGCCGGAGGTGCGAAGCCGCTCGCTGTGGCCCGTAGGGCGGCGGCCAGACGCGGTGCTGAGAAAGTTTCCCGGTGCCCGAGGGCGACTTTGACGCGTGAGCGGCGGGGGCTGCCGGGCCGGCCCGGGGCGTTCTGGCCGCGCTCTGCGGATGCCGGAGCCGCGCCGCGTCCGCGGGGGCCGGGCCGGGCCGGGGGGAAGGGGCGTTGCCATCTGCTGTTAATTCCGCGGTCATTGGATTAGTAACCAGCGGTGATGAGATCAGCGGGATCGGCTTTCGCGAGGGGGCACGGCGCTCCCCAGCTGTGCCGGCTCTCGCATGAGGCGGCGGCGGGCGGCGCAGGGGGAGGCAGCGCGCACAAAGCCCGGTAGCCGCCGCAGGCCGCCGCCCCCGGGCAGGGCTCCCGGGCGGCCCGGCCGCCCCGAGCTCCGCAGCCGCCCGCGGGCCCCCGGGCGCGGCGCCCGCCTCGCTCCGAGCCGCGGCTCCCCCCGGCTCCTGTGGCCTCCCCGGGCAGCCGCAGGCGGCGGGAGCAGCCTCTGCTGGGCGGGCGCGCTCCGGGCGGGGGGCACGGGCTCCGAGCGCGGCGAGCTCGGCCACGGCGGCTCCCGAGTTTGTTTACTTGTGCTTCGCCTCTCGTCCCCGGTATCTGCTCTCTGCCGGCATAGCGGATCGGTGGCGGTGCCGTGCGAGGGGTTTATGGTAAGTTTGCGATGGGCGAAGCCCTCAGTTCGTGGGAATTCGGTGTTTTGTTGCACAGTATGTGAAGACGCGTTTGTGAGGGGGGAGTTCTTGTTTGTTTGTTTTTTAGTAGTGCTGGGTTTCAAGTGGTGTTTGAAGAAATACACTTGAGAACCGTTTTCCGCTTTATAATGAAGTGGCTTACAATATAAATTAGTTTCTTGAGCTACGTAAGAAAATTATTTCTAGATGTTGGATGAGAGATCTAGAGATCTACGTTTCTCATAAACTGTCTGTATCTGACTTTGCGCTGCCGGACGCAAACCCTTTTGCCTCACGATTGCCATAAGCTAATGTTTTACAGTGTTACTTGGTGCTTTTCGGGCAGTAAAAACCAGACCTCGGTTCAGGTGTTTAGATGAATCTGAAATATTAAACTCTGTTCTCCGTAAGAATATGAGGGAAGCTGAACCTTCGTCTGAATTTGTATGCGAGACTTGAGTTTCAACAAAGAAAGGTATTGACTGAATTTGCCCTCGCGTTGCTGTAAGCGCTCGGAGCCCGGCCGTGGCTTTGCTGTCGCTGCTGGGAAGCTGTTCCTGCCCAGGCACCAAGGGCAGAGCAGCTGAGCGCTGCCCCCGCCGCCCCATTCCTTCCTGGAGGGGCTCCGGCGTTGATGTGGCAGCGTCCGTGCTGGCAGCAACTCATTCGTATTTCTTTGTGCCTAGCACTTGGAGTGTAGACTGCTACAGGGAGGAAAGTGTCCTATATAGAGAGATGGCCAGCTACCACTTCAGCTGCTGGTTTGATGCTGGCTGCAGCCCTTCGGTGCTTAAGTCATACCTGATATTTTCACAGTGCTCTGTTTGCCTTCCGGTGACAGAAGCAATCCCTGATAAGCTATCTCCACGCTGCAAAAGAGCTTATCAGGAGAAAAAAAAAGCACTCCCAGAGAGTTGATGCTTGTGGCTGAAACTGGCCTCACTTGTGCAGCGTATCTCGAAGAATGCTACATTTTTAATGTTGTTTCTGTAACTAAAGCAGCCCGTCAGGGACATGAATATCAAATTGCTGTTAGATTATTTGGTGCTGCTGACAGAGAAATGCCAGATACTGTAAGTTCTCCTAACAACAAGCGGAAGTTTTATAACTGGCCTTAGTCATATAAGTCTGGTTTCCTTGGTAGCTAATGTGCCTCGGTGTCTTGCTGCTGACTCCGGATGTCCTTGGATGACCGTCCTGTGCTTCAGTGACCCTGCCAGGGCTGAAGGGAGACTCGGTACTTCCCTGCATCGCCAGGATGAGAAAACTTCCCAGCGCCGTGCCTTGCTGCGGCCCTCATGTGGGTGTTGCTCTGGAAGCACACACTGGTGCTGCTGGGCTCCGGGAGCCCTGTGTTCACTCCCATCCCATCCCATCCCATCGGCCTGTTTGTCTTTGCAAATGTCACTGCAGCCAGCTCTGAAGCACCGGGCTTCCTACGCAACAGGCTCTGGGCTCGGGATGAGAAAGCAGTGCCACCTTTTTGCAAAGAGCTTTTCAGAGTTGTGAGACTTCAGGGCTGGGTTTTTTTTTTCTGGGGAGGGGGGGTTGTTTTTGTTGTTGTTTTTGGGGGGGTGTTGTTCGGGTTTGTTTGTTTTTGGAGAGGTTGTTAATGGTGGGGTGTTTTTGTTTTGGTTTGGATATTTGGGGTTTTTTTAAGAGAAGCACACCCCCCCCCCCCCCCCCCCCCCCATGAGAAGTACTAATTGGATATCTTGTTTCTTGAAAGAACAGATTTTTCTGATTCTTGGTTTGACTAAATTGCAGTCATCTTTATGACTCGTGTTTGTGCAGCATGTGAATTTCTGAATGATGGGACATCTCTCCTATGACTCTACAAGCAACAAGTCATGAACTTGTCAGGCTTCGTTGTTGCTGTGCAAACTTTTTTAATGGATTTTCCATGTACCAAGAAAATTCAAGGCAGCTATTTTTGTCTCATTTTCCTTCACAATCACTGTTTTCCCCTCTTCTGTTTATAGGGCATTGACCTCTTTTTATGGAGAAGGAAAATAATTTTCACAGTGGCACTCAATGACATGTTGCAGGACTCCATGTAATGGTTACTTTGCCTTGACTTCCTTTAATTGAGATAGCTGGAGAGTTTTCCTATAAGGAGCTGATTTGCCTACCCATTTGAGCATAGTGACAGCATTGAGGAAGAAGGCATTACATGATTTTCTGAGATATCATTGTTAAAAATCCTTGGCTGAAGTGATTAGCAAGATTATGCTAGGTACTCAACTGTCCCATCCTGGTAATTCTTCATGGCCAAGAAGAGGAAGGTAGAAAGAGGGATGCCTTATTCAAATTCTGTAAGCCATGCTGTGTTTTAGCTGTCTGCTCTCTTCAGTCTGCTTGGCTGCTCACTCCTGCTGCACTGACATCCTCTGCTCAATTCTTTTTGTGCTGGGGCAACCTCACTTCAATGTAAACTTGAGGCTCTTGCAGTGGTAAATCCCAGGTTGAATAACGATAATGCAGAGTGACCTTGATACTCACATCTATTTCCTGCATCAATTAGTGAGGATAAATGCAATGTTCTTAATAGAATATCCATGTAAAGGAAATCTAGATGTAATTTCTTCTCAGCAAGTTTCCCAGGACAGAGGGTGGATGTAAATGTTGCTGGACTTCTTAAATCCTCTCTGAAGGCTGAGGTGAGGCTGATGGTAGAGGAGTGGAGGCTGGTACTGCTGGGTGCCCGCCTTCCTGGCACTGCCCAGGAAGCAAAGCTGGGCTCATGGCTGCAGGGATGAGGGGCTCCATGCTGGCAGAGGATGGATGGATGGATGGATGGATGGATGGATGGATGGATGGATGGATGGATGGATGGATGGATGGATGGATGGATGCCATCGGTCCATCTGAGCTATGTCAATGCCGTGTGTACCTTGAGGCTAGTGAAGGTGCAGGCCACACATGTTGTCCTGGGAATTTTAAGTATTTATTAAGCCAGAATAGATCATTTTTCTGTGATGGAGACATGGGTTAGACCTGCCCACTGAACAGCTAACCGGTTTTGAAATCAAAACTCTCTGTGAAGTTTCTGTGTTATGGATAAATATTTGCCTATAATTCTGGAAGTTGATGTTGTTGGACTGACTGAAATCAACAAGTACTGTGGATTGAAACTTGCCAGACCAGACAGCTCCCTCACCCACTGTGTTTTTAATGGGGTTGTGTACATGTCGGTGAATCTGTGTCACTCTCTGCAGCACACACAGCCCTCGGGGGTGACTCTAGGCTGTCTTTGCAACATCCTCTGTTAGCTGACACAGGTTGTACTGGAGGATAAGATGTTAATGCATCACGTGCTTCCTGGAAGAGCAGTTTGTGTCTTCTGACTTCTTTAACTTAGGCTCAGGTTGTTTGTGGGGGTTGTTTGTTTGCTTTTTGCCTGGAGAATGTGTGTGTGCATCACTGCCCTGGTGCTGGGCTGTGTATTGCCCATGAACTGGAGGGTGCTGCTCCAGAAGGGCTGGAGGCAGCTTCATGGGTAACCAGCTTTCCCAAAGAACAGCAGATGTGTTCTTCTGGTACAGGATCCAAGCGGCTGTTGCTTGAAGCCAGCAGTGCAATGTCAGGTGCTCCCTCAAGAGTTAAAAAGTATCTGAAATGGTGAATGCTGTCTGAATCCTGCTTCCAGGTGACCTTTGCAATGATGTCAGGAAATGCCTTATCCTCAGCTCTACAGCCCACAGCCATTTAGATTGGATGGTGATAAAGTTAAAAGTTACTTTTGGTTTGTTTTTTTGTGTTTGGAAAGCTGGCAGGATACTCAGCAGCATTCACAGCCCATCAGGGAAAAATCCTTGCCCTGAAGAGTTTTAACGGTGCTCCTGTGGCCTTGGTGGCAGCATGGAAAAATGCATAAAGGAGAGCTAGAAGATGTGAGTTATGTTTTTGGTAGCAGTCGTGGTTAAGAGAGATCAGTGCTCACAGGGTGCCATGACTTTGGGCTAAGAACTGCCATTTGACTGGCAGTAATTGATTAAAACTTGATGGCTCTAATTTGGCTGCCTCTGCTCTTTTAAAGACTGGCCCATCAAGAGTTCTGTGCAGAGCTCACCTCTTTCCTTCCTTTGGCTCCTTCCACCAGAAATGGAGTAGTGTCAGGTACTAGCCTGTTGAAATGCACATATGTGTATGTTTGTATTTTTTGGAGGGTGTCTTTTTTAAGTGGATGTTACCTTTGCCTCAGAGGCCAATGTGATGCAGCATTTTATTTCTGTAGCAGTTGAATGAAGAAATTTTACGTAATTTATTGTGGTTTGGCCATAGCAAAGAAGCATGTGAGGAGAATTTATATCTGTTTCCATCCTTAGTAAAAGGTGAGGTGCCTGGACTTAAACATGGGTGTTCTGTGACCTAAATCTGTTCATGCTGAAGTCATTTGAACTTAGATCAATGCTGAGCAGTATTCTGTATAATTTTTTTGCTTCCCTGTGCTTATTTTCTGTATCTTTGAATTGAACATTGTGGGGTAATCCTGCTCATGAGTAGTGTCAGATGACAAGTTTTATTGTGTTGCATTGCAGAGTGTGGTGACTTAGCAACTTTATCTTTGAGGATTTGTCAGAGGCTGAAGGGACAAGTAAGCTTTGGTGTGCAGCAGTGTAGGAAATCCATTTTGGAGCTGATTGCAAGCTATTTCTTCAGAGCTGTACAGCAGAGTCTTTGATGAGTTTGCTTTCTTGATTTAAATACGTATTTTCAAAAAATTGTGTTATACTGCATTTCTCATCCTAACCCATTGCTGAAGTCTGCTGTGCACTTGTCTGCTGTTGTGCCTTTCTGCAGTAGCAACCCCTAAGGAAAATTTTGCCAAGAGATTTTGAGAAAGAGAAAAGATTGGTTGTATTTACAGTGTCTCATCAGAAGAATGAGGATTTCCTGCAGAAATGGGTCCATGTGCTGGGACCTAGCCATGGCCCAGACTGCAGGAGCTCATCCCCCAGAGCCTCCCCTGGCTGGGGTAGGGAGCTGCTGAGGGAATTCCCTGAACAGGGGCTGGCATTTCTGCTTTGTCCTGAGGCAGCAGAGGCACTGCTGACAGCTGACTTGGCTGCTCTGTTCCTTCAGCAGTTTTTCTGCTTGGCACCTGAATATGGCCCAGCTCTTTGTGAGAGGGGGAAGCCAGGCCAGTACCTAGAGACCTTTCAGGCTCCATCTTCACCTCACAGCAGCAGCCTCATGTAGCCTTTGTAGAGATCAGTTTCTTGAATGTTTAAAAATCAACATATTTAGAGTTGCTTTTTAAAGGAGTATTAATCATGCAAGAGCACTTGTATAGCTTTAGGCATGGAAAAAAGGTGTGATTTTTCAAATCTGATGAAAGGTTTATGTACTTAATTATAATTTAACTGCTTCTCCTCTATCTCTTTTTCAAATGAATGCGGAAACAAATTACCTCCAGCAGAAAGATGCCTTTTTTCAGTAGATATTGGAGGTCATGATTTTTAAAAAGAGCCACATTGCACTAAGTATTTACATCAGTGCTACATTTCATACCGAGAGTGTGCTGTCCACAGAAATCCCCAGGTGATGGAGGATTTCTGCTGTGTGTTGGTTATGAGCTGTGTGATGGTTCTTTGTTTTTCTATAAGAACATTCTGAACAATAGTTTTGCTCTGGAAGAATGAAAATGGCTTGTAATAAAGTTGGCTGTTGTCTTTGAACACTGAACTAATTCTCAAAAATGTTGATCTTATTTCCTAATTAAACTATTTCATTATAGAAGCTGCATAAAATTAAGCAATGAATTCACAGTGTTCTCAACAAGGACTGTATTACTTCAGATGTGAGAAACTGCCATGGGAGTCAAATCTATATATATATATAGCCAAAGAAATAGGTGCTCTAAGTGGTAAAGGGAATTTTGAGCTTTAACTACTTTCTGAGTTACTGGTGAAATTATAAACAATTTCTTGTTTTGAGAATGACTCTAAGTTGGCTTGGACACACTCAGTAATCTGCTGGCCAGTACTGGTAACTGGTACTTTTTAAACTTTGTTTTCCCAGTGTTTTAGACTCCATTTCCAGAATAAGCTCTGCTGTCATTTGCTTTTGACAACAGAATCATTGTTGTCAAGTGAATGGTTGCTTTAAAATAAAGTTTACATGTTAATTTGTTTGTACTTGTATTCCTTGCATATAATTTTGTAGTGTATCCATTTGTGTCCATAGTGTTCCATTTATGTTAATTATTGGCTAAAATTATAAATAATCCCAAAATTGAGTGTAGCTGACCTGGGAATTTAAGAGTTAAAATTGAAACCTGGTCCTTATGGTGCTGTT